CTTGGTTGATGATGACAATGATGCGGATGATTGAAGCAATCAATCAATGACGTTGTCTGATACGGCCATAAGAAAAATGGAGTGTGAGCAGGTTTGTGAAAACATAAACAATGGGAGGAAGTGCTGAACATTTAGTTAGATTTCGCACAACACGTCACGCGTCATGCGCACACATGCCCAGTTGGCGCGTTACACTCAGCTGGTTACCAAGACACAGAGCGGTAAGCGGTCGAACAAAGAACCGTAATCAAATCTGGTTACGTTCGTACAGTTAGTTTTATATGGGCGAAGTAGTTGGGCTCCAGTACAAATCAAAAAAAAGTTAACTGATATCTTTCACGTTTGACTATGGTGCGGATGGAACTCGCCTTGGGTTCTCATTTTAAATAAAGCCGAACGCAAACAAGAATATTGATTGATATTGATGGTGTGTGTGTGTGTGTGTGTGTGTGTGTGTGTGTGTGTGTGTGTGTGTGTGTGTGTGTGAACGACAGTGAAGCATTTACGTACACCCCCAATTTGGATTATTTCATCAACGAGAAAATTCATTAGTGGACATTCAATATTACAACAGGTCGATGAAAAAAATGTTGACGTGCGAATAAATCGGTCTGACACTCAAAGGGCCGAATAAGATTTACAAAATAATGCAAGAATGTGAAACTCGGGTGCAGTTCATTCGATTACCGACTGCCAAGAAAGAGAATTTACTGGGGGGTCTAGCGGCAACGATGGTCTTTAATGGCTACCAAGTTAATCACGGGAAACCGGAAAGACGAAGTGGCAATATCCGTCACATATTTGGGGATTAAACCCATGCAAAATGGAGTAGTAAGACGAAAATTGGATAATGTATCCTCACTGGTGCTTGCCAAGTGATACAGTTTCCACGTTTGATATCAGGGAGTGTCAACCTTTCAACAACACGTCCGGCTCGCGGTGTGCGTTGAATTTGTTTCCTTAATTGATTTAAAAATTCGAATACATGGGGTGTTTACCGTGCGTAAAGCCCTGTTTGATTCCGGAGTAGTACACATTTTCTTTCTGTAAATGTCTACTCAGGATGAAGTGGCAAAGACACACTAATTGAGTGATTTCAGAGAAACCAAACATGTTGTTGAATAATGATCTAGAAACGATCGGTACAGCACAGTGGGTCACTTAAATGCGAAAAAAACGTTCCAAATAAACAAGGATCACATTGAGAAGCTTGCCATCGATCGCATGGATCAAGGGTAGGGGTTCGGATTCTACCCCAAGTGGATGGAAGTTCGAATTCGATAGCTTTATACCAAGCAACATGGCTTAGTAAAGAGAAACTATCAAGTAAATCTAGAAAGCTGGATGGTTGATTATGAAAATCATGATTCATTTGAAGAAAAAAAACTGCGCTTGATTCGACATTCCTTCGGCACATCTCAGCCAGGTACTTTGCGTTTGAAGGATGAGGCGAACATCCGCCACACGTCACGTCGGGTTAACGGACAAACGCTGATTGTGCAAAGCCACATGAAACAGCTCACGTGACCCCATTGTAGGACGTAACGTTTGTTACCTTTTATTTCGAAAATATAATTCGGTTATGAAACGGACAAAGCTTGGTTACAATTCTTGTGATAGGATCAGCACCCAATCGACATACATTAGAAAGAAAAGGGAAGTGATCAATTTATTGAAAAAAATAAAATAGGTACGATTTTCGCTATGATTTTTCGGTTTATGCCGCTTTCTTTTATCGATAAAACACGTACTGAATGGAGATTTATGTTCCAGATAACATCATGAATTTCTAGCCATGAGCAATTAGTTCCGAATGTTATTCATAGCGTGAATAGTGATCACTCGAAGTGACAGTTTTGACAATTGGTGTATAAATGAAAAAAATTGATGCCTATGCGTGAGATATTATGGGTAGTCTTTTGGATTGTTGCTCAACTGCCGAAATACTCGCATGGTATTGATCAGAACACAGCGCAGCAGATCGTACATCACATTTAGATGAGATTTGTAGCGATTTCATTTAATCCAGGTCATTTCACAAAACGGTGAGTTCCCTGAAGACAATACTTAGTGAACAACATTTTCTTTTTGGACCTGGCAACGTGATTTTTCTTTTCAGTTATGTTTGATGATGCTTATTGAAAACACATTTTCTGAAAGAGCGTTTCTCAGCAGTGATTGTTTCGTACCCCACTGGATCCAGACAGATGTATTTATCTAGGGTCAACAAAATTCCCTCAACTCTAAAGTGCATTTTGTCGCATTGTTAATTCTCGGTTTATCAAATTGGAAGTGCTTGCTTGGTGTGACAAACAAAATTTCGACTAAAGAGTAATAGACTAAGAGAGGAAAAAATATAAGAATTCAGAAGAAAACCCAGATAAACCAAGAATGTGAGCATAGCTCAAATCATGTTTATTGATTATTGATCTGTTTTTCCCCCATTGACCCTGTAAATCCTGTTCACACAATTACAGTCATCCCGTTCCAGTTCAGTGACTTGTGTTCTTCACAACCCGGATGCGTACACTTATAGCAAAGAATGCAATCTACCTCCGACAGCCGAATTAATTAGCGTGTTGGAATAACAACCTCTCATGCCCCGATTCCAATCCCAATAGATTTGCCCTACCAACAATTACTACGAAGGATGAATCGTTTGTACAGTGCTTTCGATGCTTATCAGTGGTGAGTGACACGTTGAGCCCATTTAAACGATAGACTTCCAAACAAAAACAAGCATCTCCGATGCATGTAGCGATTTGATGCTTTATATTCGAAAAATTATGGAGAATTCTTTTTGAGTGACGCTTTTCGGAAACGAACAAGATGAGAGAAGTTTGCCATAAACCGGCGGGACGAAAACACATAATAATAGCCAAATTTACTGCATGAATTTTGTCAAAAGCATATAAAGAAAACAATCCTAGGCACAAACATGGTAAGACAGTAAAGTGTGGATATTGATCGACTAACCTTTCACACATTACATTCCGCAAAGTTCGCAGGCAGTGGCGATCTACACCTTTTCCCATCAAGCTTTAGCCAAAACCCGCAATCCTTTAGCCAAAACCCACATTCCTTTAGCCTTGACCTACATTCCTTTAGCCAAAACCCGCAATGCTTTAGCCACGACCCGCAGTCCTTTAGCCTCGACGCACAACCTTTGGTCACACCGCTGTAGGCGAGTCAGAACAAAAACTATCGGTATATTCTGAGGTCAACGAATGTTGAAAAAATTTATTTTTTGCAAATTTTCATATTGCAAAGCTTAACTAATAAATGAGAAGGTGTGACGATCGTATGCCGCGCAGTTGACTGTAGTAACGGTATCAAATGCCGCACCACATAGTGATTGGAGTAGGTTTAGACGATGTGCCCGTATCGTCAAACCATTTGGTACATCTCGTATGGCTTCAGTGTTTTCAGTGAACCAGTTTTTAATATACTAAATGATAAGGGAATTAAAAGAATAAAATCTCTCAC